TTTTAAATTGTCCTCCAAAGTTGTCTCAAATTAAAGTCTTGAAAAGTGTCACGACAGGCCTTCGCTCGAGTGAAATTTCATTTCCGTAAAACTTTGAAAAATAAAGAGATCCGATCAAACGGATTGTGGTTTTAGTATAGGCACATGAATGTCTTACAACACACAAGAAATGAGGGAAATCTGTGTCTCGAGTAAAATCGACCGGACCGCTTTTACAGAGACACTCTCTTAACACCCCGTCTTTTCAATGATTTATCACTTCTCCGGTGGGTCTTAGTTTTCGTAATTATGAAACGTCATTACGAAAACTAAGACCCCATCTCATTTTTCTTTATATTTATCAATTTTTTGAAGGTGAGCGAGAGAGTTTATACATCATCTTGATTTGTTGCTTTTTCGGTTGGATCGAAGAACCTGGTTGCTTTAAGATTAAGTGAGATTTCCTATAACCTTTCCTTGCGTTTCGAAGTATTTTCTCGCGCGACGGGCGATTCTTAACTTTCCTCCAGGAGGCTGAGCTATTTTTGAATCGTTCTACAAGATGCAAAAATAATGGACTTGAGGAAATGTTTTTAAATGGAACAGTTCAGACTTAATCAGGGTTTTCCCACTTTATGAGTAGTGTCGTTAGTTGTAAAACGGAAAACGTTTTTTACCACATTTCAGGTGAGATCTTAGTTTTCGAAAAAAATATTGTTACAAGTTGCATGCACGACTTTTACGTGTAACATCCCTTCATGGAATTGAATTTTTTTTTTGAGTTGCACAAAGAGTTGAATCGTTTTCTACTTTCTGCAACAATTTTTTCAAGCTGCACAACAAAAATGCTTGTAGTATGACTCTTGCGACTTGTTTCGCCGCACTGTGTAGTCGACATATGCGTCATTTTCAACTTACGCAAGTTTTGTCGCGAGACAAGTTGCATGGTATTTGTAATGTGTAACATAGTACGTGCAACTTGCAACAAATTTTGTTGCGAGACAAGCTGCAGGAAAAATTATTACATGTAACAGCAGCTTAACGACAGTATAAAGTGTGCAAACCCTGATTAATTCTGAACTGTCCCATTTGAAAAATTTCCTCAAGTTTCACTATTTTTGCATCTTGTTGAACGACCCAAAACAATTGCTGTCTATTATTCAATTTACTTTTCATACGCTTTTTACATTTCAACATATTCTCATAAAATAAAATAAAATAAACAAAAAAAATTAAATGGGGTCTTAGTTTTCCCAATGAGCTTTCGTTATTACGAAAGCTAAGATCCTACCTGAAATGTGATAAAAAACGTTTTCCGTTTTACAACTAACGACACTACTCATAAAGTGGGCAAACCCTGATTAAGTCTGAACTGTTTCATTTAAAACATTTCCTCAAGTTCCATTATTTTTGCATCTTGTAGAACGATTCAAAACAATTGCAAAAAAATTCTAAAAATAACTCAGTGTCTGCGTCGCGCGAGAAAATACTTCGAAACGCAAGGAAAGGTTGTAGAAAATCCCTCTTAATCTTAAAGCAACCAGGTTCTTCGATCCAACCGAAAAAGCAATAAATCAAGATGATGTATAAACTCTCCTGCTCACCTTCAAAAAATTGATAAATAAGAAAAATGAGATGGGGTCTTAAGCCTTGGTCAAACGGCGCATGATAGTTGATTCTCTTCAAACTATCCTCAATTAGTATATACTAAAACAGTGGATAGCGTTGAAGGCACGCTCTGATTGGCTAGTCAAACACCGAATATCCTTTGCTATTTACCTCTGAGCAACTCGGAAAAAAATGGCGTCCCGGTTTGCATCCGTGACAAGCGAAGAAATCACTCAAATTAACGACGGTGGTGTATATTACCTCACTGTTTTAGTAT